GCTGGCCACATCGCTGTTGGCGGTACACGCGCGCTCGTATATATTTTTTCTTATGGGTGTAAAAAAAGTCAGGAGAAATATTAACTTGCTCAGCGTTCCTTGACAATGTGCCTGTAGAGAAACAGCCTTGCAACACAGGTGCGTTTTTATGGTAAGATTAGGGGAATGTTGTCATTGCCTCTGATAATGGCACGTCAAGGGAACGATGATGATATGAACTGTTTGTAACGCTGGAGGAATAAGTGGTTGTATGACCTAAAAGGATGAGCAGCAAAGGGGCATGACACGAATAGCAAGACAACAGCCATTAAAGCACTGACTTCAGACTTGGCTTGTTTTTTTTTATTGCAGTAATTACAGTGTACAGCTACTTTAAGGAAAATGACTCACAATTTGACCTCAGCGTTGTTTTTGTGTTTTCAAATCCGGTGTACTCAAGGGGACTTTTATGCTGAAATCACACCAGCACCCTTTCTTGAGTTTAAACAATCAGCCTACAGAGCAGGTAGGACAGGTTTTTGGCCACACTGTAAATGCTAGTCAGCCGTGGAGACATGGCGGTAGTCCCTTGCAACTGGTCCATTCCAGAATTTACAAGGGCAGCTGGCAGTCAAATCCAGTTTTCTGTATCTTTTTACCCAGTTTCCTCTGCGAGGCTTTTCCTAGTGCAGCTGTTGTGCTTCTTTTTGTTACCTCGGGTACGCAGTTTATGGCAGGGGCTGGAGACAAATAGTGAAGTACACGTTTTCCAACGAAACGAGCATTTGTGAGCATGTTAACCCCCTCGCTCAATACCATAGCGGTCGCTGTGGATATATTTGGAGTGTACAAGCAAAAGAGATACAAATACAAACATGAAGGCTAAAACATTTAACGAGTCACTGTCTCTTGGTTTTTGTGATCCATGAAATTGTGCGGCTGCTGGTGGGTGCACGACATGCCCCTCTTCATTTCAAGGGCACCGGTGATCATTGTATGCTTGTGTGGGAGAACAGTGACATAATTGTTCGGCAAACAAGAAACTCTTTTTAAAAAAATTGTCATTTCAATCACAAGATACGTTATTGCCAGTTGCAGTGTATCTCGAGTCAGGTGATCACACCATTCTGGTTTTCCCACCACGTGCCTGCCCGCAAAATGAAAATAATTACTGTAACTTTAAAAATATATAAAAGCCACTAGAACTGTCCGTTCCCTAATCCATACAACACGTTATACTAGCACGATTGTAACAGAATCCTGTATTTTGTCCAAGATAAACGAACTGTTCGTTATCACTTCCACGCAGTGATTGTCTATTGTTTTAATAGGTATCTGACAGTTGGGAGTCCAAATGCTTTTTACTCATTTTGGCTGAGAATTTTTCTGCAATAATGGTCAGGTAATGCTACATTTGAATGATGGATGGATTTTTTTTATTGAAAACTAGATAACATGCCAATCAGATGTCGTGTAGTACTTTGTAGAATTGGTGGAAAAATTAAAATGGTGTTTAACTCTTATTTTTTTAAACATTGGATGGCATTCAAATTAATATATAACTATGTGTTTCACAAGACTAAAGGTTACTTTCTTGTGCTAATATATGCACTGACCTGCCGTGTAAACACGGTGTACTTTACAGTCTGTAGCATACTTTCAGATATTTTCAGCACTAAGTTGAAAATAGATCCTTTTTTTGCTCGAGGAATCAAGGAATTTTCCTCGTGACTTCGCGATGCCATGCTGTGGGTGTGGGGAGCATGGGGGATGGGTTATAAGTATCCAATTTAATGGTCAAGAAAAATTACTAATTTACTTTATTTATGGATGGACGAGAATGTTTTCTACAGGGGGGAATAAAATATTAATGCAACTAAATTTGGTGTTTAAAAATTGTACAAACTGCATTAAAATGTGACGGAAACTACAAAAAAATCCCGTTTCTTCTCAACCATGAAGCTACACAGCTTTGGGCCGAGTTCCTGCTGGTGAATACTTCCATCGGGCTTTATCATTCAAGAGGAATTAAGTACTGTATCCTCGAATGCCACAGTAGGAAGATGTATACTTTAATGTGTTTTACTTCTTTCGCACCGTACGCAGCCTCCTGTGCTAATCGGAGGTGCAGGGGAAGGACAACAAACTGAACACAAAAATCAGTTATATAGAATGAGTTTTCAATTTTGATTTAATAGTGCATTGCTCCGGTGGCTTCCTAATATCAGAAGGACGATCGTTCCAGATGGCCGCAGAAGCGCATCTGAAAGCATGCAATGCAGTGTCCGTCTTTGTTCAATAGCTAGACAAAAGCCGCTGCGAGGATGACCGGAGTTCACGTGATGGTTTATACTCCTTGCCGAAATCAGCAACGTATTGTGGTTCATTTGTGGCAAGCATTTTGAGCATAATGAATACAACCTTACAATGTATTGGTTCGGCAACTGGAAGCCAATGCAGCTTGGCGAGCACTTGATGACAAATAATTTAAATCAACGTCATAACCGCCAGATGCTGAAACTGACAACCCTGCACAGATGCTGTTCACCAACAGATATACTGATATTGGAACCATGATTTAAGTGGGATCTGCCAAGTGAAACTGTGTTGGTCAAGCGATGTCAGAATGATACTACTTCCAGGCAGAAAAAAAATGCCTCATTTACAATTGTAAATATTTTAAAGCCACTAATTTTATTAGACTTGAGGCGAAACTGCGCACGAAAATTAAGCGAAAGTTCTAGCTACGCCAGCTAGCATTCCCTGCTTTAAAAAAAGGATCGCTTTTTATAAAAAAAAAGTAGAAGTTGGTTAATGACTCAACCTTAGCAATGCCATTGGCAGCATTACAAGGCATGCCGAGCACCACAGTGGTACAGAGCCAACAGAAACATGCGAAATAACTACATTTCATTCCAAGTTATGTCTATCGCAGCCTTGGGTAACTCTCATCAAAGATTTATTTTCGGATTGTACTGCGTGTTGTTCAGCATGATGCCCGTCATTTCACTCCACGTGCTGGGAACTCGGTTGCTGAAGAAGCTTCCAGCATGTGGGAAGAAGCTAATCATCAGACACAGAACAACAACTACCAAACCTACTTGGCCAAAGGATGAGCTCTGCTAATTTTCTATTGTCAAAGTAGCAAGACAATGGTCCATATTTGTTTTTGGGTCGCTAAATTAAAAAAAACAAATATGAACCATTCTAATGTTGACTACTTTTTTTAAGTTAGCACAGACACTATTTGCTGTCCTTAGAGCCTCCTAGTGGATAAATAAACGCATTTAATCTGTCTACCAAGCCTTGAAATATTAGCTTTATGTTGTGTTTTTCCAAGGGAAAATCAAACCTCTTGGGCATACATTTTAAACAGCTCATTATAAATAATGTGAAAGTAATTGTCCGGTTGAATTTTTAAAATATCAATACCGTACACATTCATAATACGGTCTAAATTTGTTTTTACTCTTGCGCTGAAGGAACTGTGGTGCCACGCCTCACTATGCATAGCTGTACCATGAGCTCAGCGGCTTTTGCCAACAGCAGGAGAAGCTGTACAAACAGGGAGCCCCACAGGAGAAAAAAACCTTGTAAAACACAGGGTCAGCTGGGAATGTCAGAGTGCACATTCAATTGCCATTTTTTTGTTTATTTATAAAGATTCCTTTAACTTGTTAACGTTGATGCAAGTATTTTATATGGCCAGTTGAATATAGTGCAGCAATTTACACTATTGCCAAATAAATAGTTGAGTGAGCAATGTAAATCTGAAAACTTAAGCTCACTATAGATCTATAACACAAATTGAAGATTATAAACATTCCGAATGGGCAACCCATCCTATGAACTAGGTGAACCTTCCCCAGCAGCCCTGCAGCCACCTGTCAACCCCGCTCCCCTTCCTGTTGGTCCGTCCTTCATTGTCACATGGTAACGAGTGTCACTCACCTGACACTCACCAGATACTCATCTGGTGAGTGTCATCTGACATTCATGACACCACTCAGCAGTCACCCATCAGACGGACATTTACCAAAACCTCACTGGACACTCACCAGACACCAATAAGCAGACACTCGCCACTCACCTGACACTCAACACGAACATGTACTCGCTGGACAAATTGAAGAAAAACTCCGTTTAACACGTAGCCTTTCGCGACCAATATTATCCACAATAAAGTTTTTTTGGGGGGGTTAGATCGCGTAAATATCAACGACAAACTATAGCACGAGGCACTCTCAACTGTACCCCATTGGCGACTCACATAGTGCAATATTGTATATCGTCCAGCTGGGGGTGCACCACCCATCGTGCCTTGCAGGCAGTCACAGGGTTCTTTGACCGAAATCAATAAGGGTCAAGTCTAGGTAACTCCGATATAACCTGTGACTGATTGTGAGTCAGAGCACTACAACATCTCATGACTAGAATGGTGGAGTGGTTTTGGAGGATATGGCGAACAACTAAAAGAACACACGGACAAATAAAATATGACGATGCCCTGAGCAAACATGGCAGCCCCAGGTTTGAAAATTACACTTATGGACTAAAACTGTTCCTTCCCGCTATAAAAAAAATACTATTGTGCGGTTTGTGCATTTACCTATTTTCTTGAAAGTGCAGAACAGCAGGTGCCGTGTATCAAATTACTTCCACACTCACAATTCAAGGCAAACACACTGCAGTACAGGTAAAAATCAGTCTTTTAGCACCCTCATAAGGACAGTCGGTACTACTGCATAGAGCCCCTCTGGCTTACTTCCATCAAAAGCACCCCATAGTAAACTGAACAGAAGCCTACTTTCTGTGAATTAAACATGTTTGTTAAGATGGAATGTTACTTGAGTTTTCAGTTAAGCAAGTTGGCCTGATGTCAGAGTCGGGGAATTTTTTTTTTATTGTGAGAGTACAGATGAGACATTTTTAGAAACAAACTGATAACTCTAAAGACAGCACAGCCTTGCCTTCACTCTGATCTATGTTTGTGAAGCGAGCGAGTGTAGCGGAGGCGGTACCAGCAAGAGCCTTGATTCGGGAGCGCTCAAAGAGCCTCGCCGAGCTGTTCTCATTGTCCCAGTCCTCCTCGCTTGCCTCCCATCGGTTGTTGATGCTCTCGTACTGCTGCTGTATGTCCATGCTGCCCTCCAGGTCTTTGCTTACCGCAGTCATGGCTGCGTTCGGCTCTTAGCTCCTCGAGAAAACCCTGCAGATTGGGACGTTGAGGAGAACAACAAAATTACTTCATTGCAGCCGTGAAAAAAAAACCCCTAAATGATTTCAGCTATGCCCAGTTGTAATCTCAAACAGCACTGTTAGAAACTGCATGGTACAAGGGAATTTTACAATTATAACATGACCTTTCATACCGTTGTAAAGTTTGCCAGCAATCTGCGCATGACACATTTTCTGCAGCTACACCCAAGTCAAGGGCAAAGAGTTAACGCAACCTGTGATGCATGTCCTCTCGGTTGCTTTTGCACAATTTAAAAATAAATAATAACTTGTAGATTGTTGTTCAATTACTGATAGATGGAGGCCTGCCCATGCAGTGTTGGTAGTTAGAGGTTGTTGACCATACAACACACGCTGGTCAGCACAGGCTGGTGAAGGGTGCCCCAGGAATGATTCAGATATCACTCGCCACTGATAGTAGTCATGGCAGTGAATCAATTTACAGTCATTGGGCTCATAGTGCAGTGCACTGGACCAATATATCATCGCTCCACCCCAAATTTTGCATATTACAGTTGTGAGAAATTGTTGCAAAGGTAAAAATAACAGCCAACATTACACTTTACATTGTAAACCCATCTGTTTAATTCATTTTGGAGCTCTAAGAAGCAAAATGGCTAATCACTGTAATTACTAAATTTTGTAATGTACCAATTTTAAAACTGAGTGGATTATGGAGGGAGTGTGTAATCTGAGCCTTCATAAGGCATTCTATTGCAGCAAGCATCATTAGTACATGATGATGGGTATGAGTGACAAAACATCTGACGTCGGTAATACCCTGTGGTATTACCAGACATTTGCACAAATCGAACCATTCACCCGTTGCGGAATATCTCTGATGGCTGTTGCTGGTTTCCAAGCATGCAGCTGTATTTTCATATTCCACTTTTTCATTTAAGTAATGTGGCTACACTAACCTCATGTACACCGTATATTTTAAACAATGTATTTTGAGCCAATGTTGACAACATTGACAGTGCACCATCCGTGTGGCTTTGTCATTGGTTTGTCATAACGGCAATGCTACAGACCACGTAACCGTATTGCAGTGACGTAGCCCATCACGCCACTAGTGTCGCGACAAATTAAAAAGCAGTGTCCATAGCCATTCTGTTAAAATACAGCCATAAAAATCACTTAACTTGGCAAGACACTTTTGAGTTCATACTAAATATCCCACCTGCTTCTAAATGAAACGACTGTGACACCATGTGCTTGTGCGCTTGGTCTCTCTTTAGATTTCGTGTTTCTTATGTGCATTTGGATTCCTGATACAGATTAACTAAATAATGATGGGGAAAACATACTAAAATGTACACACACGCACCTCCGATTAGCAGGATTGGCTAAGGACAGCGCGAAATAAGTTCAACATACATGCATACCAGTTTCGTGAGATACATTTCTGATTACAAACTTAATGCACTTATCTTATAAACACAGTGGAATAAACAAAGGTTTTTATGCACGTTAATGTCAATGTGTGGTAACAACTCATCAACACATTAACAGCTTACCTTAGTGAATAATATGCAGATTCATTTTCCTCACACGGATCTACAAGGATTTAAATGCTAAATGCACTATAATTCAAAATCAGGTATTACTTCCTCGCCAACATACACTCTAAATGTAATAATGCGATAGAATAAATAACTACATGACCCATTCCATACCGGTATTGGACAGGGTTGAAATATTCAGTCACAAGTTTAGACTTCATGAGTGCAGTAAAGCTGAGGTGGACCACACAAGCCATTCTATTTTTGTTAATCAATATTTTGGTCCAAAAAGCAGGTTGTTATCAATCATAATCACATTGTCACAAATATCGTTAACGATCCTAGTTTCCAAACCCATCACCATGCCATGGCCTGCAGATACTGTAGTCAAAACACACCCAAATACTCACACCTGAACTAAGACGATGCGTTTTTCACCAGACTAAGACTATGCCTTAATACCCCCAAACCAATACATAGGCTTAAACATTTAAGTAAGTTTTTGAAACTAATATTTCAACTAAAAACTGTTGGGTTACTTAATCCTGGTGTAATTAATGTTATCTTGAATTAACAATTACCAGAAGAAAACGTTCAAGTCAAGATTTAAAAACGTAATGCCCAAATTAAGTGAAGATTGGCACCAAAAGTATAGGTGAAAACGGTCACCACTAGAGAAATGGCAATGTTGACTTGAAGTATATGGGATCAAAAGACAAATATAGGTCATGTTGGCACCAAAGGATAATATGTTCCTGAGCTATGGAACCCATAGCTTCCTCGAGCTTATATGATGGTACACATGGCCTGGGCACGATTCATCTCCAGAAGGGTATAGCTGTGACACACGTGTGTTAAGTCTGGACCAGATTTTGAGGATGCAAAGCATTCCTTTTCATCAGAGTAGTGCGAATGCAGCGCACATGTTGTCCTTTGATATAGCATTTTGTATATTATCAAGGTTTACATGCATTAGCATGGCAGAATGTATGTACAGGCAATGTATAAATGTAACTTGTGCTATATCTATATATCTGTGTAGAAAATGTATCCTAGTAAAATACTGCATTCTTAACCATCAGGTATTTGATGAATATTGATTTATATTAAACAAAAATACGAAATAAATGTTGAGTGTCTTATAGTTGACCCCATCAAGGGCAACAACAAATAAGAGTATTTAATGTCTTCCACTATTCATCCTTTTCATGTGCAATCAATATTTATTCAAATATTTACCACTATTAAAGTGCTCCTGGTAAACAATGCCAAGTAGGCCTTCAAGTCTCCATGCTGTAACTTAGATTCCCAGATCAATTTAAGTGAATTGCTTTGTGGTTCTGCTTGAAATGGTGGGACAAAACCACTTGTGTAGTGATAACATTTATATATATTTCATAATCTAACATTTTAAAATATCCTCAAAAATATATAATTTGGCGAGTACCAAACCTTCCATGGACTGTGAGAATGAGTATAATGATATAGGAAAGTGCTGTTGTTTTTTTATATTCTTGGTTCTTTCGGTAAAGTCACGTAAAACGGGAAATAATAAAATACAAATAAACAATAAAATTCTCACGAAGTTGCTGTGGTTTTCACACCTGATGATGATTGCTTGTGTTGCAATCGAAACGTCGTGAGAATTTTATAGTTTTATTTGTATTATTTTATTATTTCCCTTCTACGTGACTTTACCGAAAGAACCAAGAATATGAATCCCTGCAGTCACGAAAGCTTTAAATTGCTGTTGTTTTATAAATAGAAAAAATACACCCAAAGACGGCACACATAGAAATACTGCGGAGGAAATATCCACGAATTGTATATTTGCCACAATCTTATCGCTAACTCTTTGGCCAATAACTCATATTAGTTTCCTCTCCAGCCACATTCTAGATCTTATATTCAACCAAATACCTTTTGGCTGAAACCACCTCGTACCACGCATACCACTGTCAGGTTAAACATATTTCAACAATGACATGTGTAAACATATTCATTATAAAAAAGTACAGTATGTCTTGTGAGTTTTAAACAGTACCTCAACAATAACAAAAAAATCTTAATAGCATTAGTGTAATGTTTTACAAAGACATCTAATATTCAAGTTTACCAAAGTCAAACATGTTCAGGAGAGGATTTGGTGATGAGAGAAAAAAGTGCTGGTAAAACATTTGGTGATGCCAATTAAAACTGGATAAACAGCTTGAACTAAATTACCCATGTCCATGCTAATCTCATAATCTTTTCGTACAAAGATTACAGTGGCAGAGGAACTCCTAGAATAAATTCTTAAGTTAACAATTTCCTGCAGAGCTATCATTAACTTGTGTTTACAATTACAGAAATAATTTTACGTACGACCTTACAAAGACCAAGTCGATCACCACCTCTTTTGTTGGGCTGAATGGCTGTTAACATGTATAAAATGCCTCTGTTGCCAGATTGTATGATAACATTACACATATGGTACCATAATATTAATTGATTATTAATATAGCCAACACCACATACGTCATTAAACAAGGTCGTGCATGTAAAAATGGCTGCATTTATCCAACCATCAAGTTGGAAAAGTACTTGAAAACATTGTAATTTTTTACTCTGCCACCCATTTTCAGATGATAGGCAAAAAGGCGCATTTACATCTAAATTCACTGAATATGATTTGGTTATTTATCCATTTTTATCTCTCCAAGTTATCCTTAAGCATGCAGCAATGAGTTCAGAACTCTTATTTTAACATGACTGCACATCTAATTAATTTAAACTTTTCTTTTTAAAAAAATCACGTTCGATTAGTAAAATTCTACGAGAAATTCAGCAAAGGCAGTAATAGCAAATACAATACTATATTATGCTGAAACTAAAAGCGATGGTGTAGTGGTTGGTGCATTGCTACGAACCGAATGACCTAACGTTACACGGCCATGACTAACATTCATGATGAGTGATATTTGCACTGATCTTCATTCCTCCCTTCACCAACCCACACTGACCAGAATCCTGAAGTATGTCAAACAAACCTTCATCTCATTCAGCAGTGCATTTACAAAGAGCTGTAAACATTTTAACATGAAAATGTAACACAGCTATGATGTCAATGCAACCAAGGAGGCAGTGGTCCTGGCAAGAGAAGTCACATTTTGGTGTGATTTATTGTTTGAGAGTATAGTTGCTCCCTTGCAACAGAATTGCTGAGACAAATTCCAGTTGAAAGGATAACTGGGAGATGGTGGTTGATCCTTTCTAGTGATGGGTGGTGACCCACTTTCCAGTCTGCACGTAGCCCATCTAACACCATTCATTTTAATGCTCCTGTGCTATTAATAGAAAAAGGTTTGCCTCTTCCATTACAACAACTTGACTGATAAATTACGATAGATACTCGGTACTGATCCTGAAATGATCAAAACTCAGCTAATACTGCAAGTCGATCACGAAGAATAAACTTAAGAGCAAAGCGACCAAGCAGAATGTGGTATACGAGTCCACAAATGTATTTGTCCAATCCTATTTTGGTAATAATGTGAATATTAGTGTTAAGAAATGTATTTGAACTTAAAAACACATAAATGATGGGTTATTATACAACGCCATGGCAACATAACATTTAACTTGGTTTCAATTATACAAATTATTAGATGTCGGGAACATTCCTAGTAGGATCGCCAGTGATCAAGTACAGGATTCTAAATCTCTCACAACTAGTCTAAACAGGTAATTGAAAAGAATACACGTATAAAAGGTACACAACAGGAAGCATATGGCCATTAGATGTCTGTATTGCCCTGTAAGTCTGTTTGGTAGAAATTTGAAACAAGGAAAGGTTCATGGCCTATTGTCATTTCTGCCACCCTCAGATTAATCAGAATAACCTACACATTAATACAATGTGCTTATTTGAGTTTTCCAGGGAGCAATTAGAGGGCAACGTCCTTTAAGTGAGACATTGCTGAACATAAACAACATGACCTTGTATAGTTTAACTAGGGTAATAATTATAAGTGAGTAAATATAAAATCAAGATATTACTTTTACCCACGGTTCAAAAAGCTAAAGAAAACACGCAATCACTGTATATATTTAAAACATTACAATACAAATGTATATAGAATACAAATAACTATTTCCAAAGCGCACAATTCCATTTGTAGAGCCAAAAACCTCAATTCATTTCAGACAGGAAGATTTGGTATTTTTGGGCCCCTTTAGTGGAAACTATTGACAAAGGCCCAATTATTTATGTTCATATAGGATTGGGTGTTACTTAGGCCCCCTGTGACCATAAGGCCCAATTGTGGCTGCTGGTATTATCGGTTATATATATTTTTTTGAAATGTCATTTCTGATACATATAAGAGGTTTATACATTACAGAGTTTGGTTTATATGTCTTGCTCATTGGTTTTTATTACAATTCGAGACATGCTGTCCAGACATTAATTACATTATGATATGCCGCTGGCCTGTCCCTGAGGAAAGGCAAAAATATCAGCATGAACCACTTGCTTTTGAACTAAAAGCACTCAAGTATCCTTGGTATAACATCAATAGGCAGAGAACCCAGGCCGATGGCACAATGGCAGGTGTCTCCATGCAAGAGGAGACAGAGATTTTTGGGTGATCACGTTTACCACTGGCTAAAAAGTGCAAATGTTCCGCATTTGTTAAGTGTTTTCACACTATTTTCAAATATTTTAGCAGCAAAACATTACATTCCAGCACAACATAGCCGCGTTAATATGTCAGAGCTTAGCATCTGTGTGTGTAGGTGGAAAGATGTTTACAGGAAAACAGACATCCAAAAAGTGAGAAAATTGCTAACAGTTTTATGTAAATACAGTATGAATGTTCAACAATTTTTGTGGGAATGTCATTTGCTGTAGATGCAATACAATGCTACTGCAGAACAAAATAATTAGTTTGTACTCAGAGTATAAATCAATAACATATTGAATTACGTTTTATTTTTCAAATCCACCATCTGTCCTAGCATTAAATATTATCCGTACATTTTATTGCCCTTACAATCGAAATATTTGTCTTTGGAATATTTATGTGGCAGTATTTTATTGGTTGAGTGTGATGGCATTTATATAACATGGTATAGTTATAAGATTGGCTGATGTATTAACACTCAAATTAATTGCTTTTAAAGTTATGGTTTGTGAGTGGCATAGCAGGCAGGGCCCAGGTGAGAGGCAAGAGGTGAATGCTGGTTTTGTTAAAAATGCCAACCACAAAAAAAACCACATTAACAATTTGCTGAAAGTCACCCATAACTTGGCACAATACCATTTTAATACTTTTAAGTCACACGTTATAATCGGCTTTGGTGCTTGCATCATGCGGGCAAAAAAACACAGCACATCCATACACATTTGCTCCTCGTGAAATTTAGCAGAACACACGCAATATTATCTTCTCATTTTCGCTTTGCCGCTTTACACATTGGGCTCAACAGATCCAAGAATGGGAACCGGCAGACGCCCCCTGGGGGTTCCCATCTGCTAAGGAAAGCGGAGCCACCACCACCCCCCCGCTGTAGCAGCGCCGAGACTGAGGGCCCATTGTGAGGAGGCACACTCCAGCCGCACAAGGAGCCAGGGGGCATCAGCCACGCCCTGGGCGGTGCGGCTGCTAGACCGGGCCGAATGGCGAGTAACATTACCGCGTCCCCCACCTTTAAATATGAAGGCAACAACGGCGAGTGGTTCATACGGCTCCCGGTAAAAAAAAATGCGCAAGCGGCTAAGGCAGTGGGAATTAGAGCGTCTTAAAATATCCCTAAGGCATAAAGCCTGCCTCTCTCCCTGAATTATCAGCAGCCTCTGAGTAGAGACTGTAGGGGTAAAAAGTCATGCCATACGGGTTAGCAGGCCAGTATTGCGAGTACCCAGGTCATATAGCAACAATTCAGTGTGCCAGAGAGTGCGTGCTATCATGCGTGGTTTATATACTTGAGCTGTGGTTATTAGAATATGCAATCCAGTTTATTGAATCGAACAGTTCAGGTTATGTAGTCATTTGGCATAGGATATTGGGTCAAGAGGTGCATGTTATTAGGTCATGGAGTGCGGGTTATAGGGTTCTTGGTGTTGGTTACTAGGTCGTGGAGTACATGTTATTGGGTAATGGAGTGCCCGTTATTGGGAGCCGCTCTCCCAAATGCATATCCTTCCTGCCCCAGTGACCCGCGTCCTCATCCCCAGGGAAATGATGGGAGAGGATCCGCGGAAACGATGGAGGTGACATCAGATAAGCTATTTGAGATGTCAGGGAGGACAAGATGCGAGATGGATAAGCATGCCAAGAAAATGCAGATAAATAGAAAGTTGGGAGGCGAGATGTAATGTTGAAGATACGAGATCGATGTTATACGATGGGGAAGATGGGTGATATTAGAAAATATATAGGTTGGAGATAGAGATGTTCAATGGATGAGGAACGTGATAATACATTGGATGAATTATGAAGATGAAGTAAAGGAGACGGGATGATAAATAGGAATGGGAAAGGATGGTAACGGAGATGTCAGGGAGATGAGTCATAGAGGGCACATGGGGGAAGGGTAAGATAAAGATAGGTGATGGAGATATGATCACGATAGAGGAGATAAGATGGGTAAAGAGGGAGATTTGAATAAAATGGAGGCAGAACGAAAATGGATATGGGAGGAAAAAAAAGATTAAATGTCGAAGATACACGATTCATGTGTGGGGGATGGAAGGATGAATGATGGAAATTAGGGAAATAGAGACAGGGTACAGAGTACACTGTACAAAAGTGAGGGGGATGGGAAAGATATACGCAACTGTACTGTGAAGAAGTGAGGGATATGAATAAGATACGAGATGGAGGAGACGTAAGTTTGCAGTAAGACGAAAAAAATGGAAGAAATAAAATGCAGACAGAAGCCTAAATGGAGGTGGGAAGAATACAGAGATTATAATGTGGAGATGTGGGATAAATGTGAGAGGGATGAAGCAGAGCATTGTGATGGGATATTTTAAAGAGACGGAGGAGACGCGAGACGGATGAGTGAGATGACAATAAAACAGGGAAAGCTGAAATATAGAGAAGTGGGGAAGATACGAGATGAATATCGGAGATGGAGGACAAATGTGGGGGATGGGAATGATGGAACGGCGGAGGAGGCGGGAGTGGAGATGGAGGATCCCGCGGAATGGGAGGAGATGGGATAAGGCTGAGCCTCGCCAACATTTACCGATTTAATTAACAAATTACGCAATTAAGATAACGCATGCAACGTATTATTATTCTTATTACGATTCCCCGACGCCGGAATAGCAATTCATGTAAACGGCAATGCAAATAAAGAAAGATTTCGGCAAATGAATGAAAATGACGTCTTGTATAAAAAAAAATGCATCCCCCGTTGCCCGTTCTCTCTCCCGACCGCTCCCATCACAATGGGCGGCGAGACGAGGGTGGTGGTGGTACGAATAGTGTGTGTGTGGAGAGAGGGCGGGGATGTATAGAGGAGGAGGATAACGACGACGGACATCGTCTGGCGAGAAGATGCTTAAGGTATGGGCGATGATGAGGAGAGGAAAACATAATTTAAACGGCGTTGTACGGAGAGAAAGCGCGGGAGGCCAACACGGGGGCGTCCATGACAACAACACCACCAACAACATCACCACCAGCATCACCACCAACACCCGCCGCACCGTTACACGGCGGCCCAAGCCTTCAGACGAGAGCCCCTTGGCGCCCTTCGTGCAACAATCGCACGGATCACGCGTGAGCCCGGTATCCGCCTCGCGGATTGCGCGGATGGGGCGCTTGCCGCGTACGAATAACGCCGACAACTAACGCGGCCACGGGTGCCGCATACAAATACCACGGGCACGACGGCAGGATTTAAGGCAAACACGGCACACATTCATCGCGTCGGCGAGTGAAACGTAAAACTCACCGCTAGACGTGCACAAAGAGCAAGAGAGAGAGAGAACCACGTTACTGTATGCTCGGCGTGTGTTCGTTAATAACGCGATGGGAGAATTCCACTGACCTCCCTCCCCGCGAAGGGACGTCCTTGCTGCTCTCCTCCAGCCGCTCGGCTATGGCTGATGTCGATGATGCTGCTGCTGCTGATGCTGCTGCTGCTGATTGTACGGGGGGTATAAAGGGAGGTAGGGGGGAGCAGGAGGAGAAGAAACGTGGCGAGCTTCTCCCTCTCTCTCAATTGTGTGCCTGTCTGTGGTCCTTATCCCGTCCCTGGGTGATCACGGTCGGAGCGTGCGTGCCGTCATGAGCAGCAGCAGCAGCAGGAGGAGGAGGCACGACGACGTAACGAGAGCCACTACCACCACCCCCACCACCACTCCTTCTTGTAGCCAGAGTGAATCTCAACATCGGGGCTGGGCTCGCCCCTATGTGTTGTGTTGGCAATGGATTTTTTTTATATATAGATACCGTTATATTTCAACAACAAAAAAAAACACCCACGATTTTAACGTTGTTATTATTAATTTTATCAGGGTTACGTCTCTCGTGTTTTTTTTTCGTGCGTAATGCGTTTACTTTTAGACGAACGGAGAGGATCCGGGAGCGGTTTTAGTTTCGGAGGAATGTTGGGTCAGTGGAGGGATGGAGAAGGCTGGCGCGGGGGGGGGTGGTCGGACTATGTCGGAGCCGGGATTAGCGCGGTTTACTTTCTTGCCGCGGAGGGGACAAAGCCGGGAGGAAAGAGACGGGCAGGGCTGTGGCAGCAGCATGCGCGCGGAAACATCACGTCACCACATCACATCCCACACGGCACCACATCCCATCACATCCCACACGGCACCGCATCACATCACATCCCACACGGCACCACATCACATCACATCCCACACGTCACCGCATCACATCACATCCCACACGTCACCACATCCCATCACATCCCACACGGCACCGCGTCCCATCACATCCCACACGTCACCGCATCACATCCCACACGTCACCGCATCACATCACATCCCACACGTCACCACATCACATCACATCCCACACGGCACCGCATCACATCACATCCCACACGGCACCGCATCACATCACATCCCACACGGCACCGCATCACATCACATCCCACACGGCACTACATCACATCACATCCCACGCGTCACCGCGTCTCATCACATCCCACACGTCACCGCATCACATCACATCCCACACGTCACCGCATCACATCCCACACGGCACCGCGTCCCATCACATCCCACGCGGCACCGCGTCCCATCACATCCCACACGTCACCGCGTCCCATCACATCCCACACGTCACCGCATCACATCCCACACGGCACCGCATCACATCACATCCCACACGGCACCGCATCACATCACATCCCACACGGCACCGCATCACATCCCACACGGCACCGCATCACATCACATCCCACACGTCACCGCATCCCATCACATCCCATTACAGCATAACGTCATGGGCATGTCATTACATCACCGTATTGTTGTGTCCCGTTACACCCCAATATGCCAACAAGGCATCACATCGTCATCTCCCCTTGCACCATCCCATCACATCATCACATCCCACCAACTTGCTACTCATTGGTCTATGGCCCCTCGTCTGATTATCTGATTACATCGCCACATGCCACTGCTGTTTCCCCTCCCTTCCGCCCTGCTATTCGGGATATAACTCATCTTGCTCCAACACACTGCTCATGAAGGGCTGTGGTTCTGGTTGCATGAGTGGAACAATAGATGTCCGCAGCTGTGACCAATGCCATATTCCATAGTGTGAGCGGAAAATACTGTTTAATCAGGTGGAGTGTTCAAGGCTCTGTGTAATTGTGTTCAGGTGTAGGTGTTAAAAGATCCCTCAAAAAGTAAATTGTGATTCGGGCTTTACGTTTATTTTCAAATTTCCGTACATGTAACACTGCCAGCAAGTGGTCTAGCCACAAGAGGATGTTGGAGGCAATTTCGACAACTGGGAATCTTCTGGAAAAAGTTGTAGCTGCCTTGTTTTTAACTGATGCCTCTTACACTGCTCGTGCATGTCGGATCAAAGTCCACATGCGGTATGCAGGTCGCGATGTAGACTGGGGCAGGCACTCATAATAAAGGTGTGTGGGTTAGATCGTGTAAGTATAAATTGTCGTCATAACCCTCCACCACCCGACACAGCCAGTGAGGTTTGCCACGTAAACGTTACTACTTCAACCCACCGGTGTGTTGGAGAGTAAATCCACAACATTTACAATTTGAGTAGGCACGTAACTAGTATCAGAATTAGAATATTTATACTGGAGGAATCCGATGAGCTATGAAGCTCTTTTTTCACAGGCATACTGGATGTGATGTGCCGGGTGCGCATTTATTTCTGTTACATCACCGACTCGGACATGAAGCCCTGTGCGTTTGATTCATTCGGCAAAAAAAATGCTGCATTCCCCATTTACTTTCCCACAAATGTGCTGCTGTACCAAAGCTCATCTTTTTTTTACTAACACAGTTTTTGGTACTGTATTGTGATGCGTCATTTCATAGAATATTGGAGTGTAGTTCTCAATCCCTTATCGAATATAAACACAGTGCAGCTGTGCATTTCGTCTCGACATCATGCTGAGACCTTTTTTTGGCATGGCTGCTTCACATCTCTTGATTGAATGCGAAGAGAAAATGTAATTACGGTACGGCATCTTATTTTGGGGATATAATGCTTCCAAAATAACACATTCACCAGTTAATACGCTCTTTTAAAAAGCATCAACCATTTCACCAGGTGGCACCTGGAGTATAATACTGTACTTGTACAGTGTAAAATAAACAAAACAGTACTGTTCATGTCATAAACAGGGCCACGTCGTTACTGCAAGGCTTTAGCCATGTGCACAAATAGTAGTGCACAATTTTTTTATAAATACGGTGTTTTGCTTAATCACTAAACAGCAGTTCAACATTTTAAAAGTATATACATGGCGGTCCGGTTGTCTTGTGACCCTACATTAATTGACCCCCAAACATGTATTCCTTTACATGTTCATTTCTGTTTTAAATAAACCTTACTTTTTTGTTAAATAAAGTTTTAGATAATTAAATTGCGGAGTCACAAGACATCTGGACCACCATGTCCAGTACTGTCATTTCTCAAATGTCACCAGCAGCGTCCCCTTCACTCTTTGCCTCCCTCCCTCGGCCTGCTAATAAGGGGCTTAAACATCTCCTGCTAAAGCCTCGCTTTTCAGAGTACCATTTTTTGTTTATTCCGCACGTGAGTTGATCTGCGTCAGTCTTAAATGCTATGAAGAGTCCTTCATGAGCTGTCAAGCGGTTCTGTTTTCAGAGACGCCTTTTTTGAGATGGTGTGGAGAACAACATCTGGGCAAAAAAACAAGTGACCATCCTATTTATGCAAACATCTAAACAATATATATTGCTTCGTTTGACGTAATGAACAGTTTTGGTTTATGACGTCTGTTAAAGGGAATTAAAATAGATTAATTTTATAGGGTTCTAACATTGGACATTCTAAAGTTACTATATGTTGTCAATAAGTTCGGTTTTACTATTTTTTTGCAAAATATTTGAAATATTACAAAAATGCAAAGGTATTACTGGACTCCATTTTTTTAATTGTTTTACTGTGTTTAGAAGGCTATGCCAGTTTTGCATTTTGTTTATGGATACGTTATTTTAATTGTGTGTTTTGTGTTCAAAGTATTTAAAAAAAAAATCAATTGTGCCAATGGCCAGATCCGCTAGTTTCAAAGTGGGGTCGAGGGTGCCTGCTGTCTAGAAGTGTGTACTGGTTGCATAAATTAAGCCTTCTCAAATCAATAAACTGAGCTCTCCGCGTTATAGAAATCATAGCTCTCAGAACAGAAGAAGTGCAGGAGAGCTGACTAAGGGTAGGTTTATTAAGCAGGGTTATAACTTTGATCTTGGGTCACTTTTACAATGCGCAATGTCTAAATTGCAGCGTCTTGCAATATATCCTGACACTATGCCAAAAAATGTTTCAATAAACTATTCACATTGTACTATACCTCTACTGTTATATTCCAAGTCCTGGTATTTCAATATATATTGTCCATATTAATACTTTCATAGCATGGCGAGAGATATATAGTAGATATATAGCATATCTGGATGAATTGTGTGCATACATATAACATAGTAAATTATGTACATTCATATACATGTAATAGTGTATACAAATTATGTACAGTATATGAACCGTCGTGGAATGGATTTGCATTAACTAACAGAACGCTCGCTCCATTGTAGGAGACGATCAAAGCCAGTAAGATCGAGGCTCTAAAACAGTCACACACATCTAATGTTAGGTTTAATTTTATTCCCATATTTATATCTTAATAGACAGAGTAAATGAGTTTGATGCCAGGGGTTATAGTTGTGATACTGCATATTTGTATAGCCTATCCTCAAACCATTTTTGACCTGAAAGTTATTTATCCTGTCTGTAAAAATTCATACAACTTGCACACAAAAAGTATACACACAATATGTATGCACTTATATCTTACGGACAAATAATAATTTAGACAGTACATATGTTTAGTAATACAACATCTGCATTGTGTGCATACTGCATACGATTTTGATTTGCATATTTTGTTGTTTTTGGCATGCGTTGTATGAATATTAATGCACAGAACATTAAACTGTTTTATTGGACAGGTTTGTTGTGATAACAAATGACATGGCTCTAATTGAATGAAAGGCCTCCATGCCCATATCCATACGTGCAGATGCATGTAAACATTGAACGTGCATGACCACCCGCTGTGTACTGCACAATCACTGCTGAGATGTCAACATTGGGTATTGTAAAAAATAAAGTACCATATTCTTGGTTCTTTCGATAGTCACCTGATGATGATTGCTTGTGTTGCAGTCGAAACGTCGTGAGAATTTTATTGTTTTATATTTTTATTATTTTATTGTTTCCCTTCTACGTGACTTTACCGAAAGAACCAAGAATATGAATCCCTGCAGTCACGAAAGCTCTAAATCAAAATAAAGTACCATGTACCAATATGGTAAAATAATTAATATCTGTGCAGCTTAAATATCTCGTTGCCAAAAGCATTGTGGCCCCACTTGATCAATATGTAACTCATCCGTGTATGTAATGCTGTTGTGGTGTAATGGTTAGCACACAGTGGACCATCTCCCAGCACTGCGGTTAAATCAATGGGCCATTTTCTTAAATCTCGCGACACAGTACACCCATAATAGAGGTTTTTGGGTTAGACCGCGTAAATATATAAATGTGTCGTTAAAACCCGCCACCACCCGACACAGCCAACTAGTAAGGGTTCTCATATAAACAGAACATGCAAATTCGTCACTAGTACAGCACAACGGTGTGTTGGAGAGCCAAGCCACAACATTTACAATCTGTACTCTTTGGTTCTTTCAGTAAAGTCACGTAGGTAGAAAAATAAAATTAAACCAAAAATAATATATCACGATGTTTCGATCGCAACACAAGCGGTCGTTCTCAGGCGGAAAAAAATATAATCCAGCAGTGGAACTGCTGAACCGGCTGGTTTTCTACCGAAAGAACCAAAGAGTATGGATTCCTGCAGTCACGAAAGCTTCAAATCAAGATTTACAATCTGAATACAACATTTCGCCAGTAATTACAACTAGCTTCATCAGGCAACAGCCAGATTTGTGGAGAAGTCTTACTAT